TTAGAAGGTGTAGACACAAGCATCACTGCCCCCTCTAGGGTGCCTAAGTCACCAGATTAGTAAGCAGGGCCTTCGCGTCATGAAAATGGTGCTGAAACCACTCCAAGAATTTACCTTAAACTTGGGAAGTGGAAGATACATTGAGATGATAAGAGTATATGAATCTACATAGACCGTATTCCAAAAAATGGATTACTTTGGGGGAAAAAAGAAATATTTGGAACACAAGTTATAGAATTTCCTCTCTTATAGTTCTTCTCTATGCATGGTAAAGCCCTAACGAGGGAACTACATATTTGTCAAAATTTTTTGCCCATGGGATCTTTTTGTCAAAAAGAAGGCTCTCTTACCCTTTGCAACAGCATGGAGGGACCTGGAGAGTAGTATGCTAGGCGAAATAAGCCAGTCAGAGAAAGGCAAATATCACATGATCTCAGTTATATGTGAAATCTGATGAACAAAGTTGGTCCAGAGACGTGGAAGCAGGGAACAGACTGATGGATCTCAGAGGAAGGGGGAGCGGGAAGAGATCAACCAAAGAACTTATATGCATGTATGCATTGCCCGTGGACACAGACAACAGTGTGGTGTAGGCCTTAGGTGGGGCGGGAACTTGGAAGAGGGGAGCAATGGAGGAAAACAGGGACATCTGTAATATTTTCAACAATAAAAATAGATTTTTTAAATTAAAAAAAATAAAAAGAAGCATTTCAGAGACTCACTGTTCAGAGGAACAAGCTTCGGGAACCTTGGTGGAGGCTACCCCGATAAAGAGCACAGAGGCAGGAGGACAGCTGGAAGAGCATGGAAAAATCACCCTAAAAGAATGAGTCAAATGTCCCAAGGAAGTCCTCAACCAAGAGAACCCGAAGATCACTTTACACTCAAGTTGCTTAATCAGAAGATTTGCGCCAAAAAAAAAACGGAATAAGAAATAACACTTACTGAGCATTGTGCTACGTAGTCGCACCACTTATGTACACGTCTTGAACAATCCTAAAAGGGAGGTACCACAGCAGCGTGGGTGCTATTGTACAGATGCCCAAACTGAAAAAGCTACGTCCCACAGAAGTTGATTCGTGTAACGTCACGACGCAGAGATGACCCGAGTCCTTTCACATTCCCATCACGCGTACAATGATGCCACAGCCAATCTCTGACTACAGTAAGGCAAAAGGTCAGCTTTACAGTCACACATCTCATACAACAGCTGTGATGGTGATTTTCTTTTTTTTATATATTATTTATTTTTCCCTTTATTGATTTTAGAGAGAGAGGAAGGGAGAGGGAGAAATAGAAACATCCATGAGAGAGAACATTGATTGGCTGCCTCCTGCATGCCCCTCACTGGGGATCAGGCCCACAACCTGGGCATGTGTCCTGACCGGGAATTGAACCGGTGACCTCTTGGTGAGTGGGTCGGTGCTCAACCACTGAGCCACACCGGCCGGACTATGATGGTGATTTTCAAACCTGGCTCCTAAGCAAGCTCACTGACATAACTCTTTCTTTGTACCATGAGAGATTAGCTTTATAGGATGCTTTAGAAAGTCAGGTCTGAACTATATTTCTACCCAGGAGGCATGAGCTGGTCCAATGGCTACCTCAGGCAAAAACATCTCAAATTAAGTGAAAACCTGTTAAGGAAAGGTGTTAACTTTTCAAAAATAAAGTCAGCAACACAGAATTATCTAAACTTGGGAAATGAACCAGATGATGCTATGCATCATGAAGTGATGATAAACTCTCAAGACCCAGTTTGCTAAAGAAAAGGACACAGTTAGACAAAATTAAATCCTTTTGCTGTCATTATATTATCAATGACATAAAGTAGTGAAGCCACAAAGAATGTCTGACCTGCCACCACTCTCCTACCTAAGATGTGAAGAGAAAAGTCAGCCCAGCCAGTGTGGCTCAGTGAATTGAGGTCATCCCATGGGCTGAGAGGTCCCAGTTCGATTCCCTTCAGGTCAGGGCACATGCTGGAGTTGTGGGCTTGATCCCCACTAGGGGGCGAGCAGGAGGCAGCTGATAGATGTTTCTATCTCTCAAAAAAAATCAATAAAAACACATTTTTTCTTTTAAAAAAAAGAAGTCAGCCAAATGCTTTGACTTTGTGTAGGTCTATACACATAAGACTCTCAAAGTTGATTCATTCAAATCATCAATAAATCTTTGCTTTTGAACTACAAGGGGAATCTGTACGCAAGTTGCTACACATTTTGAAAATCTGGTTCTAAGACCAAGCCCTGTGTTCTTTCTAAATGTACAGCACCCCGTATACAAGCCTTGGGACTCTGGGCTAAAAATGTCAACCTCCAACCAGATTACTTTAGGTGGTGAGGAGCCCATTTGCAGGTCGGAGAATTGAACGATTAAGGTTCTTTAAATCTATGGTCTCTATTTATTGAATCACATAATTTCTCTAAACTCTATAGAAACAGTCCAAAAAAATTAAATGTGATACATGTCAATTCTCATGTTTGGTGACAGAATTAATCACTTTTCCTATGTGCTTTAATCATAAGATCTTTTTTATTGTAGAAGGGCATGTTGAAGAAGTCCTGAAACACATCTGACTTCATGACCTGTAAGTGGAGGAAGAAAATCGAACAGGCAACTGAAGGCTGCCAGTGAAAATCACGTACAGAGGCAGACATTGCGGGAGCAGTTCGCCCACCCACTATCTCCCACAAGTCCTGTGACAACAGATGCAACTTGGTGACTTCGTACTAAAAGAGGCTGAGGTGATACTCAGTGAGTGCCCGCAAGTACAGCCAGGCCGGGCTACTGTCAGTTTTACACACAGCTCCTGTTCGGACTGGTTGGTGTCGCTGCCAATCCGGCTGCATTATTTTCTACATCGCCCAGAGAACAGGGGTCAAGGAAGCTTGAAGGAGCCGGGCAGGTGAAAGGGCCCTGAATGGGACAGTGGTGAATAGTGAACCAGCTGATACGGACACCTGCTACTCGACCCCTGCAGGCTGAATCATACAGGAAAGTAACCCCACCATTGCCAGATTTTCCATTTTTAAGTAGCTAGAAATCCCTACCTATTTTTAAATATTTATTCCTAATTCGATCTTTAAAATGCTGTTTGCCAACAAAAAATGTTCTCTAGAATAGGGGCTGCCAGCGTCCTGCTGAGGGTTGTCTGCTCTGGCTAACACAGTCCTCAACCACCACTACGCGTGCGGACCGGGACCCGGCCTGCCTTGCGGGCAGCAGCCACGGCAGCTGGGCAGGAATCACAGGTGGATGACTTCAGCAGTTAGGTATAAGTCACAAATCTGGGGCCAAATGATTTTTTCAAGCTTACTAATAGCATTTAGGGTTTCAGCAATTAGGTGTAAGTCACAAATTTGGAGCAAAACTACGTTTATAGTTTACTGTAAACAGCATTTAAAGAACAGACAACTCTTTCAGAGATACTTCAAGAACATTTATGATATCATTATGAACATTTCTAAACCTTTACTCTTGTCAAGCATACCTTCATCTGATTTTATTTTAAATAGAGATCATGATCCCAATATACTTTTCTCTTTCCATTTGCTCTTCTCTTTCCCTTCTCCAACCTTTCCTTCGTTTGAGCTGGAAGATCACAGGACTTTCGTGGAGATGGTGCACAGTAATGTATGTAATGTCTAAGACAATGCCAAGCACAAACACTGTAAGCACCTGCCGTTACTAGGAATATTATTAGCAGGCAAAGTCCTCAACGGGGCTGGTCTACAGCTTGGGGAAAGCCAGTGTTAACTCTTAAAACTAAGCTGTTACGTAAGATTTCTTCTCACAGAATCATTCTGTACCTACCCTCCTTAGCAATCCGTCTCTTAAATTAATCCCCAGTTCAGTTCCTCTGAGACAGCTGAGAATCTTTCGCACATGAGAATACAGATAAACAGAGGTCTCTGTAGAGCATTTCACAACAAAGGAGATAAGGGCCTCCACCTCTCTATTTCCCCTAGGACACTGAGGTACTTTTCCACTTTTTTGCTTCTTTGTGAAATAGATTCATTCTGCCTTCTGAACTACTTAACCCCAGCTGGGTGGGGGTGGCTTGAATTTATACACCATACGACTTATTCAATGTTCTTTTGGCTCTAAGCAGTGGCTTCATGTAGAACCAAACACATGGTCTCAGTTATTTTAAAAGTGTGCTACACTTATTGAAAAGGGGAGTCTTTGATCCACTATTTTCTTAAATTTGCAAGCACTCCATTAACACTGAGCACAAAGTTTCGTTTACATTTTGCTACTGTCCTCTCCTGAGGGATGCGGTCAGCCCAGCCACCAGGCAACTAGATTCGGTGTCTGATTCATAATTGACTTATTTGAAATTAAGACTCTAAGACTTCTTGTTACAGACCCTGCAGGAGAACACCAAGAATAAGGGGCTGACAATTAGATGGTGGGATGAAGGAAATGATGCCTCAGCCTTTCTGGGCTTCACCAAAGAGGATCGGGTCAGCAATTTCCAACTACTCCCTGGGGACACAGAATAGACAGCTTAATCCAACTCTTCCTCCTTCCAGGCTCACTTCCTCAAATGCCTTACTCCGCATGAGATCATACTGCAGGCATGTGCTAGCTGACAGACAAATACAAACACATGAATGGAAGTAAGCCAAACAAAAGAATTTACACTGTGCCTAGAAAAAAAATAATAACTGTTTAAATACTTCTTCTAAACAGCAAAAGTCTAAATACTCTGTCATCTTTCCTGCTTTACAAATAAATCCATGATTTTCCCCAATCAAATCATTTTCCCATTCTAATGCATTTGTGGTATTTAAAACAAAACAAAACTAGGAATTGAATTCTATTAAAAACATTGTCCAAGGCTTTCAGCCCCAGGATAGACTCAGTGCCCACTGGCAGGTACCAGCTGCAGGTGCTGTCCAGGTAAACACGCCTTCAAGGGGGAGATGTTTACTTCAGCACACGAGGAAACGAAGCGTCAGGCTCATGGAACCGGTAGAATCAAAGAGATATACCTGTAGGTTTTCAATTTCTTCTTTGTGCTCCCTCTTCAAGTGTAAGATAGCAGCTTGGTATTCTGTAAGATCACAAAAGAAGCCAATTACCAAGAAGCACAAAACAGCACACAAAATCCAAAGTGAGCATCCCCAAGATTCTAGAAGTGCTTTGACAGGTAAACTGAGTCAATAAATGTCATAATTTGACCTTCACTTGACAAGAGATGTTGAACATTGAGAAAAGTAGCTCAGGATAGAAGGGAGATTGCCTTCCATTGAGCAAACCTTGAATTATAATAAGCCCCAAATTAGGCAGGTAGGCTAGGGTTAAACCACACACACACACACACACACACACACACACACACACAGCTTTATGAGTGTTCCAGATAAAGACTGGGTCAGGGTTTGTCTTTAAGGAGGAGCTGGAAGTTAAGGCCCCAAAGAAAACAAATATAGATGTGTTAAGAACAGATACACAAGAAATAAAAAAATACTTTCTAACTGGGATCAGAGAATTCTATTTTTAACTCCCCATCCCCCTCCAAAAAAATCTCCATTTGAATGCAGGACTAAGCAAGCACCCAGGGTTGATTTTAATCTTCAGATCACTTCAGAGAGACAAGATCACTTGTCACTTGGGTGAGAGGATGCAAGGTGAGTTGAAGTTGAAAGGAAGACAAAAATAAATTTCTGGTCCAGTTTTAGTCTGAGTCTAATAATGTTTATTCCAACAAGAAGTCCCAAGTGTACACAGGAACTCCAGCCAACCACTAAAACTACCATTCCCTGGCTAAGCGTGAACCAGCTATGAAAACTTTATTTCCAGCCATACGGCTAAGTATGTGGGCTCACAGAACTATGCAGACTGCAGAGAACCACAAAGCAAAATGCTTGAGAAAACGTTTTTGCGGGATAAGCCAGTTTTTCACAAATGTGTTTGGGTTGTGAGTATGAATAAGAAAAATGGCAGTTAGATGTCATTTTCAAAAGTATGAAAAGACAGGCTATTTCTTCAAGTGCATTTCGGAAGTCAGGCATGAAAGGCCAGGTTTCCGTTCAAAACTGGATGAGGAAAGCCTTTGGTGATGCTCTAACGAGAGAGGAGTATGGCTGCTGATAATCATGACTCGTCACACTACCGCTGTTATGGGGAATGTGGTCCACCGAGCTGTGAATCCATCAGCAAATTCTGAGATTTCTGCATCCAAACTGGACCTTGAATCTAACCACTTCTCCCATCCCACAACCACCACTATGGTCCAAGACACCACCACCTTTGCCCTGGACCACTGTGGGGTCTGAAAAGGTTACCTGCTTTCAATCTCACCACCACCGAAACCCATCCTCCTCGCAGCAGCCTGGATGATCTGTTAAAGGCATGGGCCAGACCATGTCCCATCTCTAGGTTGCTGCTGCACACACAGTGAAATAAAAACTCCCTACTCCAGCGCATAAGGCCCTTCAGGACCTGGTTCCTACAGACCTCTCCCTGTCTTCCCTTTGCTCATCACCCTCCACGCACACTGGCTTTCTTGCTATTCCCTGAACTTGTCAAGTTCTTTTCTACCTCAAAATCTTTGCTACAACTGCGGACAATAATAATGGACTGTATTTATTGAGCACTTACTATGTACCAGGTGTTATATAAGTACTTTATATGTATTAACTCATTTCATCCCCACAATAATCCTATGATGTAGGTACATTTTCCTCATTAAGAACAGATACACAGAAAGAAGCTGATGCAAAGCTCAGTATGTTGCAGAACTAGAAAACATGCACAGTTCAACAAGTGAATGTATAAACTGTAGTATATCCATAGAATGGAATAGTATTCATCAATAATAAGGAATAGACTTTTAATACATGCATCAACATCGATGAGTCTCAAAGGCATTATGCAGCGTGAAGGAAGTCAGTCTCAGAAGGCTAACTATTGTTTAATTCCATTCATATGACATTCTGGAGAAGACAAAACCATAGGGATAAAGAACAGACCGAAGTAGTGGCTAGAGGTTAGAGATGAGGGAAGGTTTGACTATAAAGGGTCAGCACAAAAATGAAACTTTGGGGTGATGTGACCATTTTATATTCTGACTATGGTGGCAGTTACCTGAATCTACACATGGGTTAAAAAATTACAGGACTGTACAGTAGAAAGAAAAAAAGTTAATTCTACAGTATGTTAATTTTTAAAAATCCACATCAAATATTATACTTTTAAATCTTTTCCTTAGGAGATTAAGCATAACAAGAATATATGTTATTACCACTTCTATTCATTGTTTTTCAAAGCACTCTAGCAGATGCAGGATAAGAAAAAAGAAAAACATGCTCATGCACACGTAATATATACATTCATATATATACACATATATATAATAAAGGGGAAATACAGCTATCATTCACTATGATTGTATATTTAGAAAAGTCTAAGATTCTATAGAACAGTAAAATGAATATGTGAGTTTAGTAGGGTTGCTTACTTTAAAATCAGTATATAAAAATTCTGATACCAGCAAGAGTATAAAAAAGAAAACTTAAGACAACATTTATAGGACCACTACTAACAGACTACTTAGAAAGAAGCTGAACAAAAATATGTAAGACATCATGAGAAATCAGGAATGCTACACTGAAATATTTACAAAGAAAAATACAGACAGATAGTGAACAAGCCATGTTTTGGTAAGACTCGATATTGTAAAGATGTTAATTTTCTCAAACTGATCGATAGATTCAATGCAACCTCATTCAACATTTCTAAGGGTTGTTGTTTTATTTGAAATTAAGGAACTCAATCTAAATATATATTGAAGCACAGATGTGCAAAAAGCAATGAGCCAAGAAATTCTTGAAAAATAAAAGGGAAGACCACTTAAGAATTATTTTTCATTATTACCACATAATTAAAGTGGTGTGGTACTGACAGAGGGAAAACAAATGGACTAAAGGAATAGACTAGAGTTTAAATCTGAATCAGAGAAGTATCAGGGCTCCGGGGTCCCCAACCTCTTCTCTGGATCCAAAGACACCTTGACTCATTCAGGTGTTCTGCGCATCGCTGGGCTGGAGCCTGAGGATGAGGCTATTGTTGTAACATAGGGGCCGGCGACTCTAAGACTGACGTAGTGTCCCAGACGCACTAGGAAGTGACACACAGATCTCCGCTCAGCTCGCGTAGCCTGGTGCAGCCACCCCACTGGAATCTCTGGGCAAGTCTATCTAGGTCAGTCATGACTCGTCTTGTCACATCTTGTCGCACCTGCTTTCCCATTGTCCAGTAGTTCTGACAATGCCACATCCCTCTCTTCCTTTCAACTGTTAGATTGATTTATCGCTCAACATTCTTGGTATGTTCCTGTTTCCTACAAGCAGAATTCCCTCGCTCAGAGATAAAAATTCCCCGATGGGGACATTTGCGGAGGTTGATTCAGGCTATGCCCAGCTCAGAGATGAGGAGTAACTAAGATGTTCTTCTAGTGTGGGTGCTGCAATCGAAATTATTCCATACAAACCACATGCAGAAATAAATTTTATTCTCTATATTAAAAAAGAAAAAGGAAGAGGCTAGAGAGCCCAGAAATACACCATGAATTTATGACCACCCTGTATCTGACAGAAGTAGCAAGGGAGATGTGTGCTTGCAGTGAGAATTGTCTTTTCATTAACTATCAGGTGGGAAAAGCGGGTGTTTACGTGGAAAAACATGGAACCGGACTCCAACTTTATACCATAAAATAATCTATTCTAAGTCGATTAAGAGCTAAATTATAAAAAAACAAATCCGTAGCTGTTTTATAAGATAACATGGCATTAACTTTTTAAAAACCTCAGGCTAGGACAAGAACTTAATACTCAAACTGCATTACATATAAAAAAAATCTAATACATTTCACTACATTAAGTCAAGAACTTCGTTTCATAAAGAGAAAGAAAAACAAGCTACAGAGTGGGAGGATATACTTGAAACAAATAATCACAGATCTACCATAAATATATACCATATATATCAATCATTCCTACAAAATTAGAGAGAATGAAAAGTAGGCAAAAAATGTCAATAGGTGCTCTAAAGAGAGGACAGGCAAATAACAGATAAGTAAGTAAAAAGGTGCTCATTCTCATTAGTAATCAGAAATATTTAAAGTCCAACAAAACAGTGTTGGTGGAGGTGTGGAAACTCATACACATGGCAGGGACGCAAATTGTTACAATCACCATGGAACATGTTTGGCATTTTCTAATGAAGTAGAAGATTCTGCCACTCCCTACCCAGTCCTGATCTTAGGTACACATAAATGAAAAACAACTATAAAAGAAAAGCAAATAATATTAACAAAAGTCAGGATAAGTGGTACCCAGGCGAAGAGAAGCCGAGTTGGGTTATGACTGAGCAAGATGGTGTCACATCGGCGTTCGATGAAAAGTTATCTTTTAACCTCTGTTTTTTATGCCATTTTCTTTATGTATACCTAACATTACAGTGTAAGAAAAAAGACTGCTCTGGTTATATAACTTTTATTATATGTCAAGTAAAGAATATTATACAGGTGCAAGAGAGCATCTAGATTAATAAAATAAGACAGTTTAGGAAATGAGTCACATAAATATTGAGTCCTAACCTTAATACGATGATCAATGGCTAAACCTTAATCAAGTCTCAGCCTCTACAAAGCAGGCAAAGGAAGGTTAGCTAGACCAACCTTCTTGCAAAACGGATGTCCCCTGGGAATGACATCAACATTCTAAATAAAAATTACACAGAACATATTTTGAAATGATTATTTTTCTGAATTGCACCTGTAAGGGTGTGACAGATTACAGTCATGACTAATTCACAGATCGATAAGGAGATCATTGCAACGCTAACACCCAGGAAATACTGCTCCATCTCCTCCTTACACAAACAGTTCACCCACAGTCCCAGTGTGATCGCTGGCAAGGAAACACACCCCCATTCCTAACAAGGGTGACTGTTTTGTCACGCAGAAGCAGGACGCCGATGCCCTTACTTGTGAACGCTCATTTCGAGGATTCGCAAGAAAATGCTGAAAGAGTATAAAGATTACGGAAT